AACTCTAATTGTGATTATACATGATTTCGGAAAATACTTGTTAACCAATTGTATTTTCTATCTAGCTATGGCTAGTATCCATATTTTCCCTCCTGTAATTAAGACCTCAACATAAAAGATAGTGATTAGCAGCCTCTTGGTTCCGTTTGAATAGCACAACTACCATTGTTAGTTACATCAATTGACTGCCTTGCTACTGATATCCGTTCTCGTATATGTTTCATAAAAATGCGGAATTTGTTCAATATAATGTTAAATCCAGAAATCACAAATAGATGCTCGGGTTGGCTTCTAGTATTTATGATAATGTTATGTATACTTCTGATCATCACCTGAAACGTTTTCTGACGATTTCCATACATTCTGTGTAAGAATGAACCTAGCTAGCTTGATCTTGAAGGTACTTATTTATGATGCTGTAAGGTGGCGAAATTCCTCTAGGCTATTGAGTAATAAGTTCACATACTTTTATTTTGCTAGGCAAAATGTTAGAGTAAAACCTAGAAGGAAACAATAAATCACTATGATGTGCTTATTCATTCGAGTTTATTCGGCAAATTGAGTGATTGATAGTCAATTAATTTTTTCTGCTAATTTACTTTTATTACTCTGCTATATTCTTATTATTACCAGAACGCGGATGGACTTATGCTGCTCTGCCAAGTAGTTTTAGTTTGCTTAAGCCATCTGCCGGTCTCGGTGCGTATCATCATCTTTTGAAACGCCGTCTACAATCAGGCCGCTCCCAGCTGGATACCTCTATTTTCCGACTGCGTCTCATCTCCAGTATCGTCAAGGCACCAGGAATATCTGATTTTATGACTTCTACGGATACATTAACGGATGAGTATTTATCGGGCTATCCGGAGGAATTGGAGGAAAATATTCCACCATCGACTGCGGATAAGACCTACAAGTCTCAAGAGGGGGACTTCTCACACACGATTGATTGTCGGGCTGTGTTCAGTCAAGTGGAAGTAAATGAGTTTAGAGAACAGAAAGAAGATGGCTATGAGGAATCTATAGAACAGAAAAATTCCCAAAACGTGAATAAGAATATTGTAGGCTCATTGGATCGACAGAATATCAGACCAAAAGGGACGCTTCTGTTTTCAGGCCTCTGTAGGCCGCACACCATGTTCGAATATTCTCGGTTTGGTCGTGCTGAGTGGCAGGAAGACGAGACACGAGCTGTACCGCCATTGGTGCTGCCTAGGTGCTCTTACTATATATGCTTTGTTGCTACTTATTATTATATAATATAGGGTTAAATCTTTCTTATAAAAAGGGAGGTTTGTACTCTTTCTTAACTCTCTTGACTTATTCATAGTCATAACGGTTTATTTTATGTCAGAATAGAGTATATTCCGGATCATTTATATAAGCACTTTCTAGCCTTCTAGGGAGTAAAATGTTTTGATTGAGCCTGTAAGAAGCCTGCTAAGGACTTGACTAGCTTTGTTTTGGACTATTACTTGCATAATCTCTTTTAGTAGATGTTATAATTTGTGGCTACTCTGTTGTATACTATAGTTACATGTAGTTATGCTATTCATACTTGATGTTTGGGACAAAAACTTTACTTCGATCTATTTTTTATGTTCAGTGTGTCACTTTTTCTGTTCCAATCGGGGTCTATCCTTATACGCTTCACCATATGTAATTTTAGTCAAAAGGCACTCTTTTGCTAAGGCTAAGCACAAATTTAAAATTAAATTACTTCCTAGTCAATGTAACTTATTTATTCATATACTTTGGACACAACTAGCTGGTGTCTTTTTATCCCAAAATTAGTAATCTTAAGGAGGGGCAACATAATCTCAAACCCACGTCATAGATCTAGGACAAAGGAACCTATTCCTATGGGCTTTGAACATTTCCCAATTTATGAATATTCCTTTTAGTTATTTTAAAATAATTTGGTTATCATATGACTGCAAATG